GTTCTTCAGAATACCCCCACCACCACCACCTCAAAACAACAACAACAACAAAAACAATTCACGCAGAATGACAGCAGCCAAAGATTGTGTGAAAGAATAGTTCACTATATATAGCTTATTAAAACTTGGTTTAATTCGCTTAGCTGAGTGCCACATCCGGGCCACAGAAGAAAAAGGCAAAAAGGGGCAGCTGTAAGGTTGGAGATGGGGTGAGGAAGAGTAGAGGGTGACATGTGGTATGTATGCGTGATTATGTCAGGATTAGTTGTAAATTGCAGGAGCTGAGCTTATTAAATTCAGCTGCCTTCCTCCCTCTTGAAATTTCATTTACCTACAGCAACAACAACAATCAACAGCAAAAGTAATTCTTACTCTGCCTTTCGTACTCAGTACGGTGCATATCATTTGGATACCTTTTAAAGTAATTTACATGCAAGAGAGGATCAAATTCACCCAAGTGCTAAACAGCAGTCTAGACACAGAAGTATTAAATTACTTCAATTAGATATTTAGGTAAACTAGACTGAACAACCAGGACACCAGGATTAGCACACCTTGCCTTATAAAGAGTACCATCTGAAAGGACAGAATAAGAATGGACAATGATACTACACAGAAATATTCTGGACTAACCTAAACCTGCATTCTACTACTTCAGTCTTCACTGGCCAAGTGGTGATTCTTTCTATATGCCTCATCTCATATATTTATTAAAAATTAGAGGTTCACACTGCAGACTGTATCACTGCTTATGCATCACCTCTACATAAAATTGAATTCTTCATTAACTTTTTAAAGCACTTTACAAACTAGAGAAGGCAACTTGCCCCATCTTGTTCATATGGTAGCTAGTGTACAATTTATAAGCAAAACACAACCAAGTCTCTTGTGAAAAACCACAGTGGTGGCATGTCGCTATAGGCTCTCAAAATTCTTTTTTACTTTCAGACTTAAATGTGTCTCCTCTAATTTCCACTTGTGGTCATGTACATTTTTTTTTCATTGCAATGTTTTGCCCTGCTATCAAGACCTTAATAACATTTCTGCATATTTGAATGAAATACCTTTTCAATGTTCTTTGTTCAAGACAAAATGAACTTTTCCTTAGAAGTTTTTGTGTAGGGTGTTCCTGCTCTATAAAACTAGGATTTTTGTGAGTTAGTCTTATTGGTGTTTATTCATGGTGACCAAACATGAATGCATATTCTATTCTATTTCTATTTTTATTGTTTTTACTGTACTGTTCTAGCTGTTTGGATACAGTACATGTCAACAATGGTGTAAATCAGAAAGAGTGGGGAGTGTTAAACTGATCCCTGATAACCTTATTAAAAGCCTCGTTGTTTGGTGAGGTTGGTAAAAACTGTAGGGATATGTTAAACTGGAAATTAAGTCTACAGGGTCAGGGGTATGATTTTGGCTGTGGAATCTTGATTGTGAGGAGTTTTCAGCAGGTACTCTACCTGTCTCCCAATTCCCAAAGACATGCAAGTGATTATTTATTCTATAATAGCGGCATTAATGCCGTCAGTGTTTTGCTCTTTGATAAACCACTTCCTGGCCACACATGGCCTATAATTTGTTGCTGTCCGTGTTGCTAGTAGAATTGATGATTTCTGCTGGTATGTTGATTACTGTACTGTACCTGTGGTTCTTAATGTATCATGTTCCATTAACTTTAAAACACTACTGACATCACATCTTCACAGAGATTATTTAAGAAAAGGGTTCAATAACACAATGCATATTATTTTGAAATTAGACTTCAAAAATGTATTTTTATTTAGGATAAGCTGGAATACTAGAATTAATGCTTAAGCCTGAAGTCCAATGAGCATGGCATCCAGTCCATTGTACACAGCTGTTTTTTTTTCAGTTATTCATTATTTGAAGACACTAAACCTTTTTATAGTAGATCCTTTGAAAACAGAGACAGGGTGCTTTGACTTAAAAGAAATGTGGAAAATTTGAAAAGTACATGCTGGATGGCACAGTGGTGCGGTGGTTAGCATTTGGAGCTCTGGATACCTTGGTTTAATTCTGGACTTGGGGTGGAGTTTGTATGTTCTCCCCATTTTGTGTGGGTTCCCTCCAGTTTCCTTCTACAGTCCAGATATACTGGTAGGTCAACTGGCTCCTGGGAAAACCCTTGTGCGAGTTTGTGTGTGTTTGTGTCTGTGTGTGCCCTGTGATGGACTGGAGTTTCATCCAGGGTGTACCCCACTTTGCACCTGTTTCTTGTCAGGATTGACTTTGGCACCCCTGAAACCCCTGTGTTGGATGAAATGGTTAGAAAATGGATGGATGAAAAGTAAATGTTATATTTTTGGCCTTGACTCTTTTAACACTGACTTTCTGTCCCCAGAAATCAATTTGATTGTTTTTGCTATGTAGCCAGAATAACAATAAAATAATTCACCATTTCCACTGAAATGAATGGCATTCTGAGGTATTTTGCCTAACTATCAAGCTTTTGTTGACACAAATTTAGGTTATCTGAATGGATAAATTTATTTTGCTCTGACCTCACTGGGTCTTTTGCAATGCAATGTACACCGTAGGCTAAGACAGGTTGATGCGACCGGTCAAATAAATATCCACCCAAGGAACCGTGAAACAGTTAATAATGCATTCTACTTTCTCTCTATAAAGAGATTAAGACATGATAAAGAAACAAGAAAAAAGGTATATACAGAATATTAAAAAATATATAAAACATGAATGAAATATTTACTCATCTTACAAGATACTACTGTATTAGATATGTTTCACGACATTAATATCCATTCAAATGTGCAGATATCAGACTGAAAGCAAACTTCTTGTGAAAACCAGACACTAAACCTAGTTGTGCCAGGAGATGTCCAGACCGTTTGTTCTTTAATCTTGATGGAAAAGCACTACAAAGTATTAGAAAAGCAATTATGGTGTGGTAGTCTGTTCTTGCTTTGTTTCAAACCAATTAACTTCAAAAGAAATGGCAGCTTAAACAACCAACCATTTGTCTGCAGGGAGTAGGTTCTTTGTGATGAGTTTGTTTGCACAAAACAGATCAAACTTAGATGGTGAACTCCTGAAATCAAGTTACTAATGTAAGCAAAGAAACAAACAGCATCCAGTATATTGTGCTAGCTTCTACCTTAAAACCCAACAGTTTTAGTAGGACATAGAATAGCAGCATTATACAATTTTATTCACAAACATTATATTAAGGAACATGCAACATAAAAAAAACACTTGTATAATTCTGTAATACGCTGGACAGTGTAACAGAGTCTTTGATGTTCTTTCAAAATGCATTTTTGGTCATATTTGTACTGAAAAACACTTATTATGTGAATTTGTAGCTCCATACATTGTGAGTACAATTCAACATGCTTATGTGGGGATTAAAAACATTTTAGACCTCAGACTGTGTTCAATGTTTTCTGTGGAACAAATATTCGCCACTTACAAGATTAAAAACATTTCATAACGGAACACAAAAAATAAAACTATAAAATGAATACAACAACAAGTAAAAGGAGCATTTTAATTTTAACACAGATCTAAAAATGTAAATGGAACTATTATTTCCACAGGGTGTATTTCATTACATAACATATCTTACATTTTTATGTATTTAGGCAATTTGTGCAACAAAAAATAAGACAAATTTACTTTGAATATAAGCTCTTTATTAAATACAAAAGTCAATAATACAGACTGCTAGATGTTAATTTACAGTTGGTAGCTTTTTGGATGAAAGTGTATATGAATATGTTTATGTTTTCATCCATATAAAGTGACATAGTTTCACTGTAGAAAATTGCACACAGAGTACTCAGATCAGTCTATTATTTGTCATTTCCATACCTGGGTCACAGTGGCTCATATGGCCAGAACTTATCTTGGTTTCCATGGCAATAAGTGGACAATATAAGTAGCTGTGGATGTGTCTCAAACCCTGGACAGGAGGCAGGTCATTCAGAACATTACTCCAAGCAAATGCTGGTCCTCACTTACTTACAGCCGGGTGGACTGGAGCAACTGAGGTAAAGCACAACCCTCAGGATACAACAGCAGTGTGTGCAGCATGAAACGTGACCCACATCACACCTATTATGAGACCAGGTACACCACCCAAGTGGGTGCTGCAAATCAGGTGGTGGATATACAGTATATATGGTGCCGGATCCTTTGGGATGAAAAATGCTACAGTATATATACTGTAAATACATCCAATCACTCAGCCTGTTTGGGGGACTACTTTATCCTTATCCTTAGAGGGCCATGCAGTGCCAGAGCCTAGCACAGCTGACTCAGGATGCAGGGTGGGACTACACACCAGACGGGATACCAGTGCAAATTCACCTGGATTGCATGATTTGGACTGTGGGAGGAAACCAGTGTTCCTGGACAAAACCGAGGTAGACACAGGATGAACTTGCAGACTCCACACAGAAGGCAAGACTGGAATCCAACCCAGAGCTGACTCATGACCTGTGAGCATCAGCAAAAACCACCACGTCACTGTGCCACGCCATATAAATGCGATCGATTACAATTATTCTAAAACTAAAAATAAATGTAATGATTTTTAAAAAATAGTTCCAGAAATGGCAAGATAAGATTCAAGGATAATCAGGCAATTACAAATCAGATTAGCAAAATTTGCTGATAATCCTCATTTCCTATGTTCGTGGGTAATGAGGAATGTCTAACAAAAAGATCAGTTTTGATAAAGCAAATTCTGTTTTAATGTTAAAAATTGTCTGCAATGGATTGGAATCCTGTTGTATCCTATCTTCAACGAAAAGAAAAAAAAGAAAAAAATCAATATAGGACAGTGAGGGCAAAAGCACATCCTCAGTCTGGTCTTGTGAAACATATTAATTATTGTTAGGCATTGTTGCCCATTCCAAATTCCAACAAGATAATGTTTGGAAAAAACAAAACTTGCAGCACAGATTAATTATTTATTTCTTCAGTCTGAAAAACTATATAAGAGCCTGTTTTGTTTTTTGTGAGTCCACCCATCAATTTCATAGTGGGACAATCAGCTTTTTAAAAATGAAGTGGGTGACTTTAATTTCGCTTGTAATTCTGATATCCTTTGCTCAGTGTTTGGATCTGAGGAGACAAAAAAGAGAAGGTATGAAAAACAAAGCATTATGTTGCATGCTGCATTAAAGGGCAAACATAACACATAAATGTGCTCTGTGAATAGAAAATATTTTGTTTCAGATTGAATAAATTCTTAAATTGATTCTTACAAAAATATTGTCTTCCAAAAGTGTAATTCTAAAAGCACAAGGATAAATCTATCAATAAATTTAACAATAAACATAATGCCTAAAATCATTTATTTGTATCTATCCATAAATCTATATGTGTAAATAACATATGTACTGTGTCATATTGTAGCAGAAAGCATAGGGGGTGTTTGTTTGACACATGATTTGTTAATTTATTCTACAATAGTAAAACATTCTTTATCTAAAAACCTTGCTCCTGCATCTGTTTCTTACCTTTTTCCTGACATACAACTGAAAAGTCTATATTGTTCTGTTTCTGTGTAAAAATACAATCCTTCTGGAAAATATTTTACCATATTAGGGGCAGCATCTATGTAGCCTTCAACAGAGTGTTAATTTTGCACAACGTTTGTTTGTTTGAAGAAAAAGTCCTGTTGTTTTCATTAGAGTCAAATATTAGAGTCTAAATTGTTTTTTCTTTCTAGTCTGTAAGCATGAGTTTTTCGCTTTACTGCCTTCTTTCTTAATTCTTAATTAGGAATACAGCCCTTGTAAAGAGACCTCGATTTTCACGTCTTGATTTTGTACTTGTTTGCAATCTGCTTTCCCCCTTTTTCATAGCAAACACGATTTGTCAGTATTATACTGCTTTAAAAGAAGAAGGATTCAAAGCCATGTGAGTATTATCCAAATCGGAATATCTACCTATACAGAAAATTATTAATGTGATTGCTTAATGACTTCAATATCAGTGAACGTTTCCCTAAATCTAAGTAAATCTGTACTTACTGTATAAAGATTTATTTTATAAGTACAGATTACAAAAAATAAATACCAAAACAATGCTAGCCTGCTTTACCACCTGTGATAAATCCCATTGTTTTTGTAATTTGATTACTCGAGGGTAGATTTTAAGCATTTTTAATTTTACTGTTTGAGTACTGTTGTCAAGGTTATATTTTTTCTAGATTACGAAGGATCTTTATTATGGGTTTTCTGTCTTAACAGTACTTTGTCTTTTAAGTAACAAAAGCAAACAGCTTAGGAATTTCTAACTGATATTAGTGAAATATGATTATCTCCTAAAATAAAGATCAGCTATTACTCAACTAGTGGGTTTAATAATAAGAATGTGGTCATTCACCTCACCTTGGTTACCCAGCCCTAGATTTAATCTGTTTAGAGTGCATCATTATGGTAAATTACAAAAAATGCTGAAGTACTCAAGGTCATTTTTTCTTCTCCACTAACAAAGAGGACTGGGCCCATACTGCAAAATCAAAATCAATTGGGAATATCTTGCAACAATGCAAGTGAGTGTAATAATGTGTTAGAACTCATTATTATTTCACGGATTTCACTTGGTCTTCCTTCCAGTGTACTTGTTGGTCTGGCTCAGAACCTGCCCAAGAGTACGTTTGAAGAGCTTGTTCCACTGATCCGACAGAGCACAGCTGCAGCACAGGGCTGTTGTGGTGATTCCCCAAGTGCTGACTGCTCGAAAGACGAGGTAAGCATAATCAACCACTGTGAAGATGTGCATTGAAGCCATACCATCTAGTATGGCCATACAATTGTTTGGGAAATTGTAGCAGGTGAAGGACACTACTGTATTTGACCAAGTCGTCAACTTTTACAGAAATTCTAATGGTAGTCTTAGCTAAGAAATAGTTTGCAAAATAGAAATATGTTTGAATACTGACCCTTTTATCACTTTAGTCCCATTTAAAGGGTTGGTTTGCACCTAGTCCTGGAGTTTTATGTAGAAATGAGGAACAGACCCACACTAAGAAGTTTATCAGGATATGTTTGCCAAAAACCGGGACATTCTGTAAAGGGTTTCACAAGGGGTTTTAAATGTCTAAATCAATGACAAACTGTAGCAGAACATTCATGGCGTGAGGTGATGGAAGAAGATCACAAGGGCAGATTGCACCTGTAGGATTTTGAATAGATTCTGCATAGAGGAGTGGTTTAATTCTCCTCCACATTACTCAACAAGGCCAACAGAACCATAGGAGGGTTTGCTAAATACTGATTGCTAGAGTATATAAATTAGGCCTTTAGAAAAATTGTTTGTTTCTGTCAAAAATAGAGGAATGTGCACTTAGATTTTCATACTGAAAAACTTTTAGTTGTGGTCTGTTGTGGTTATAAATAAATTTGGAGATTACTGCATATTTGTTGTAGAATGTTTTTTTTTCTAAATGATCTGTATTTTATTTCACAGAAAGAACTTTTCCAAGGTGTGGTCTGCTCATCGCAGGAGGTTGTTACTAAAAACGAGCTTGCCGACTGCTGCGCCAAGCAGGGAGAAGAGAGAACCAAATGTTTCATAGAGCACAAAAAGAAAATTCCCCGCGACCTGTCTTTAATGCACCACCTACCAGCAAGTGAGAAATGTGAAGAGTTTGAAAAAGACCACATTGGATACATGGGACAGTAAGTGTGGTTTCTTGTACCTTATGTTGAATTAAGGTATAACCCATTAAAATGCTAAACTTGTATAAATAGAACAACATTTATTTCAATTACTGAAATAAGTGCAAATAAGAGAAAAGGGGCTGTGCACTACAAAAGACCTACACTTCAGATGAGACATAATTTAAAAAATATATATATAAAGGAATGACAATGACCACAAGACTCCCATAGTGCACTCGGATAACGTGAAAAGGCAGGTAGTCTTTTCTAAAGTGCCCACTGATTGAAATGTTTTTGATTTAATTCCACTGAGGTGTCAGGGAAGCCACGGAAGTCATCATTTTGCCAGATTTGAGAGAGCACTGGTCTACTAATACCCTCCTAGAATTGGGAGGTGCTGAGTCAATTGTGTATCACCACTTGAGATGGTGACAGACTTACAGTCAACTAATGCCCTGGAGTCAGAGACCTCTACTTGCTCTCAGAACAAGGGTGTTTAACAGATAAGCCACTTGAGAGACCCAATTGTCTTTTAACATTCATTTGTTATTTATGGCCAAAATAGATATGCTTTAGAGACTCCAAACTCCAAATACACAGCCTCAACTCAAACCTGTTACAAGTGGTTTTTGATGTTTTTTAAATATAATTTCTGTTGATTTGTCTATTTGGAAAGTGACCACTGAAAGAGTTACTGTATGTACAATCTAACATTTAGTAAGCACATAAATATTTGAAAGCTGTTACAGGCATTCAATACAAATGGTATAAAAAAGAAAGATTACATTCAGTATGTTGCTTTCAGCCCAGCTGAAAGAGAGGAAAATATATTTGTTCAATATTTTTGTATCAGAAATTCTTGCCTGATAATATGTAAAAATACGTATGTCAAATGTCAATCACTGAAATCACAGTGTGACTTCAACAGAGGTAGTTCTATGGAAGAAATGTTTCTCATTACTTTCCCTTTACAAAGCACATGTGCGAGGCGTGTGAATAAGGTCACAACAAGTCAAGTGAAATTGAGCTAATCACATAATTTCTGTCCTATATAAATAAGCTCTCTTCAACATTATTTTTTATTTTACTTGGAGTAAAATAATGGCAACAATAGCGCGGTAATAATTCACAATAACTCCATAAACGTATCAGTCTTTTTTTCTTTTGTAGCTTCATTTTTCGCTTCTCGAAGCGAAACGTTCTGCTGCAGCCACAGGTCATACTGGGGATTGCTGACGGGTATGAGAAGACCTTGACAGAATGCTGTAAAGCGGCAGACGCTAAGCACTGTCTTGACGCAAAAGTAAGTTAAACCGTTAGGGTTTCTTTTCACGTTGTATACTGCAGAAAAGCACATTCTTTTTCACAGACCTTCAATGCTCCATTTGTTTGTTTTTCATTCAATTCATAGAAAGCTGCCCTTCAACGTGTTATTGAAGACCGAATCACAGAGCTGAAATCTATTTGCGTGATTTATCAGAAGTATGGACTGCGGATTTTGAAAGCCAAGTAAGATTTTGTGATATTAGTGATCTTAGATCTAGTGATCAGCATTGACATGATACAGTATGTCAATTTAGCTTTGGCTTTCATTTCTGCTCAATAGGAATTGGGCATAGTTTAGTATGAGATTTGCCTCATTTTTATTTTCGATAGTTTATATCTACAGTATATATTTTTAATAATCTATTACATCTCCCAAGAACACGATTTGTTTAACTTAAATGTATTTACGTAGAAACGTTTTCAAAAATAGAAATAGTTTATTGTGATATATAATTGAAATGCTAATCTGTGCTAGGCCAATCTGTGTGTCTAAATACCTTAGAAATGTACAGATTTACACAGTTAAATTAAAGTTTACAGATGACAGTAGTACTAAAGAAATAACAACATCAAGTCTTCCATGTTGCAGCCAATTATTTTAATCACAATTACAGTACCAATATAGCCAGACTTTCAGTTTTTTTAAATTGTGCAATGTAATGTCATGAACCAAATCTATTACAATGTTATTATAACCCACGTATATATTTATTATTATTTCACTTCATATTTCAGGAAACTAGTTCAGTACAGTCAAAAACTACCACAAGCAACCTTTGAAGAAGTTGTAGACATGACTGACAGAATTGCAGCTATGACAGCCACCTGTTGCAGTGGAGATATGATCCAATGTATGAAACAAAGGGTAGGTGGATCTTTTCACATTTTTATTTATACAAGGCAAAGTTCACTGAAATATAAAACGATACTAATAATGAACCTTCTGCTCAGGTTAGACTCAAAACAACTTGAGTGCAGTCTCAGCAAATAACAGTTATGTTTCTTTTTCAGAGCCACACTGCTGTCACACATAAACATATTTTTTCCTGGGTTTTCCCTTTTACGTGTTTGTGTTACCTTAAAAACGATGGTATGGGTTAATTAGTCTTAATTTGTCTAATTTATTTAAACTGTTTTTAGTGAATGAAAATATTGAGTAAACTGACAGTAAATACTTTTCTAAATGTATTTGCATATATTTACTTGATGGAAAAGCTCTTTCCTATAATTTAATTGGCTTCCCAATCTCAACATATTTGATGTTAGGTTTGAAAAACATTAAGCATGAAGGTCTTAATGAAAAAGCATCTTTATCGTCCAATTAAAATTGGCTTGCTAATTTATGTCTTATGTTTTTTTGTCTTTTTTAGCATTTTAAAATTAAGGGCTTTCCTTATTCCATTGTTGTTGGTTTCCTATTGTTATTCCATTGTTCTGTTGCTATTTATTGTTTGTATTTGTATTCATTTATACTGTTTGTTTATTGTCTGTACATACTGGCTTTATTTATTACTTACTGTTTTGTAATGTGCTGTCTACAGTGTGTGGTGTTGTCTGTTGTGCTGTACATGTCCTGAGAGAATGGCATGAATAAGAATCCCATTGTACATGTACATATGACAAATAAACTCCTCTATCTATTGTTTATTGTTGAACCACCAGCTGTTTCTTCTCTACTTTCTTAAATAACCTGTGCTGAAACCAGGAAATTGAAAGGTGTTGAAAAGTGTAGCTGTTATCCTTTAATTGTTTTGTCTTTCCTTTCTTTAGAAAGAATTAGTAGATACTGTCTGCTCCAGAGATGACACCCTGACTAGAACTAAGCATCTGGCCGAGTGTTGTAAGGCCTCTGTCATAGATCGTGGAGCATGTATTGAGAGAATGAAGGCAGATGACAAACCTAAAGACCTGTCTGCTAAAGTTGAAAGTTTCATCAAGGATAAAGATATCTGTCAAAAGTACAAAGCTGACCATGACGCATTCCTAGGAAGGTAAGAGATTTCAGTGAAGAATTAAAGAATTAATGGAGAAAGGTGTGAAAAAATGCTTAAATAATTTTCTGCATGTTCATAATGGATGGTTTTTTAACTATGAGTTTCAGTTTTGCGATTTGAATCACAATTACTTTGGGGGTTACTTTATTTTTCCTAATTTATATAAATCATAGCTAGATATTTGTAATAATATTTTTGATATCTAAATCCTGACATCCTGAGACACATGACCAGAGTCTGAAGATTTGAGCTGCATTTTTGCAACTGTATTCATTATGCTGTGGAAATTAAATACATTCAATTGCATCTCAATTGGAACACATTCAAAAATTGGGAAAAAAAAACACTCTAATCTCATTTGGACTATATGTATGAGTCGTACCAAATCTTTAACATCCAGAAATCATGTTTAATTTGGCAGTATACAATTAGGTCATTATTAAAACTCAATAGGAACATATATGTTGTCTCATTAAATATCAAAACCATCAATGTCTCTTTATTTATTTATTAAATGAATTTGTTAATTTATTAAAATGTGTTATCACAGCAACTGAATAGGATATGCTTCTTCTAAAGTGGGTAATACATACAGCTGAAGTAGTTCAAGTAGGTAGCCGCGTCTGTAGCGTTGTGTAGTACAGGACCCTATGCAGACGGTATAATCCGGAAGTGAGCGGAGTAGAACAATGGGGAAGAGAAGAGGATCAGGGCAGGTTAACAATCAGGGGGGCGTGACGACAGTGAACATGTGCTCGGGGGGCATGGCCACGGCAAACAAGTCTAAGGGGTGTCCAGGGGGAAATCCAAAAGTCCAAAACCGGGAAATCCAAGCGAGACGAAAACAAGATAGTTAAAAACCAAAACGGGATCCGGTGCAGGGATGGGGAATAAAAGCAGTATCACGAGGCCAGGCGCTCTGAACAGGCTTAAATAAGGATTGAGGGCAGGTGCACGGAATCAACCAAAATGTGAAAGAGCAGGAGCAGCCTTAAGAGGAGGGATTTCGATCATGACAGCGTCAGCATGTGAAATAATAATAATAATAATAATAATAATAATAATAATAATAATAATAATAATAATAATAATAA